GACCTGAGTGTCTTTCACCCTCCTGTACTCAGCCACCCCTAAGCTCTTCTTCAGACTGACCCCAACCCTCTTGGAACCAAAGATCTCAGCCCTTGCTGACACTCCCTGGCACTACTCTCCCCACCCCCACCCCTCCATTACAAGCCATGTTCAGGCCCTGACTTAACAGACTAATTTTCTCTGAAAGTGAAAAGCTCCATCCCTCTGTGTCCCCAGCCTGGGGTGGGGGCTGCTCCCATTGTAAGGAAGTGAGATCTCTTCATGGCTTCCCCTGGTCTGACTATGACCCTATTTCCTTCCAGTGGAGGCTGCGTCTCCAGTTCCTGTTTCCCCAAGAATAGTCCTGCTGTGGGGGCTGGGGTGCAATGTCTCTAGCTGGTCTATTCTGACCTCAGGGGAAAGGAGGGCCTGGAGCCTCCAGGCCTGGCCTGTGCCAGACACCCCCGCCCCATCCTAGTCCTTATCCTTTTGGAAACATCCTGTCCCAGCCTGGTTCAGGACAGAAATAACAGGATAAATTTGGAGATGTCATCTGGTCTTGCCAGAGGGGATGGGCCCTGGACCCTCAGCTTGTTTCCATCTAGGAGTGCCTGGGGTATGAGTGGGGCCCTGGACACAGAGGCTGCCAGCTCTATCGTGAATGTGTCAGACCCAGCCTCTCTGGGGCTGGGGGCTTGTTGGAGGCCTCTTCTCGAAGAGCCTGTGAGGCTCCTCTCCAGGGCCAGTGGGGCTTGGTGTTTGGGGACGGCAGAGAGGCCACAGTTTCTCTCATAGTTTCTTTCTGCATACCTCCCTCTGCCTCAGTCTCCCTAACTCTGTCTGTCATTACGACTCTCTCCCTTTCTCTGTCTCCAGCTTTCAATTTCTTTCTGCGTTGTCTCCCTCTGCCTGTCTCGCTCTCTCTCCCTCCCTCCCTCTCTCTCTTTCTATCTCTTCCTTATTTTCTATGTGTATGTATTTCTTTTTCTGTTCCCCTTTCTGTCTGCTGTCTCTCTGCATTCTGGCACACCCCATGGTACCTGGAGGGCTTTGCTGACCTCTGCATCTATCTGTCTGTCCCCCTCAGGGAAGCTCCTTAGACCCTCTCTGGAGTGACGTCACCTCAGTTCTGAGACTTCCATGTAGCCTGATGGACCATCGTGGACAGGGAAGGGGTGAAAGTGGCTGGTCCCACAGCTGCCACCCCTTACTCTTCACACCATGCCAGGCAGGCTGGGTAGATTGGACCCCTGAGTTGCTGGGTCTGCAGCACGGAATCTGGGACAGGGGCCAGGCCCCTCTCCCATGTTTGTCCTTTGCCACAAACAGAACTGCCGCTTCCCAGGGCAGGTCTGGAAGATTCCTTGGAACAGCTGAGGGGGATGAGGGCTAGAAGCAGGGGTGGAGAGAGGAGATCCCTTTGGCCCATCCCCAGCTGGTCCCTCAGGCCCATCCCAGGGCCTGCAGAAGGCTCTATGAGGACAGGGCTATTCTGGAGTGTGACCTTGGTTTTGCGAAGGATCAACAAGATCCAGAGTGATTTGTTAAGGGTTCCAGACACTAGAGGCTCCTTGCTTGGCATTTCAGCCTGGGCTCTGAGCCAAACCTGGGGAGAGACTAGGTGTGTACTGCTGGCCTCAAGCTGGGGGTCCCTGGGCTGTTTTTGCTCTGGACCCCTGATTTTCAGAGACAGCTGAGAGCCTCACTGTGAGGTCTGAGTGGGGCCCCAGGATGTAAAGCAGCAGCATGAGGCCACCCCATGCCCCAGCTCCCTGAGTGACACCGTTTGAGAACCTTATTTGATATTCTGGTTCAACTTCTGTGTTCATGTCTACCATTCCAGCCTTTAGCTATAATGGTCCTCTGTCTGCCCCGGTTGCATCCCGGGCTGGGTCTGGGCTCAGTACCCTCACTTGGCCCCCAGGTCTAACTGCCCATCCTTGCCCTCCCCCCCAGGGCCTGGAGCAAGATGTCCTACAAGCCATTGACCGGGCCATTGAGGCTGTGCACAATGCAGCCATGCGGGATGGTGGCAAGTACAGCCTGGAGCAGCGTGGAGTCCTTCAGTGAGTGTGGGTGAGGGGAAGAGGGCACCGCCTCCACCCCATTACCCTAATGAGCACAGTTGGGTGGGGGTCCTTTAGTGGATACTGGGGTTGTGTGTAAGGCAGAGCTGGGGTAATGCAGAGTAGGGTGGGGCATGAGGGAGGTGGCAGGAGCCCGAGCTTTGGGGGGCCCAGGACCCATGGGGGAGCCTGTAAGGACTTTGGGAGTTTAAGGTAACTCGCCCAGTAAGCTCCTTGTCCCTCCATCAGGAAGCTGATCCACCACCGGAAAGAGACTCTGTCCCGCAGAGGCCCCTCAGCCTCCAGCCCTGCAGCTATGACCCCATCCACCAGTGACCACCATCTGGACGCTGCTGCTGCCAGGCAGCCCAATGGGACGTGTCGAGCTGGGTTTGAGCGGCAGCACAGCCTCCCTAGTTCCGAGTATCTCGGGGCGGACGGAGGCCTCTACCAGGTATGTGGGGAGGACATCCTGGCCGAGGGAGGTGGGTGGAACTTAAGCTTGGTCCAGAGGTTCCAAGGGTCCAGTCGGGTCAGTGATGCAGAGCCGTAGCCCGCCTGTGCCAAGAGCTCAGGGCCTTAGCCAGGCCGGTACCCCAGATGGCAGCGTGTCCTCCCAGATCCCGCTTCTGTCCTCTCAGATCCCACCACAGCCTCGCCGAGCAGCACCCGCCATGCCACCTCCACCTGTGAAGCGCCGAGACCGTGAGGCCCTGGTGGCCTCAGGCAGTGGTGAGAGGCGGGATTGGGGCAATTGGGGAAGTACGCTGTGGTGGAATGATTGCTTTGCCTGTGTCAGAAAGTTGGGGGCTCTGGGCTTGGAGGGGTGGGTCTAGCAGAGAAACCAGGCCCTGTGTTGGGAGGGCGGGGCTCAGGGCCTGGAGGGGTAGGGGACCCAGGGGGCTGTCCCAGCACAGCATCCGCTCTCTGCCCACAGGCGGCCGCAACACCACGCCCTCCGGGGGCAGTTCTGTGTCCAGCGGCTCCTCAGTCAGCAGCACCTCCCTTGACACGCTCTGTACCGGCTCTAGCTCGTCTGAGCTGGGCCCCAGCTGCTCACCCACGCCCCCACCTGTGCCCCGCCGAGGCACTCACACCACTGTGTCCCAAGCTCAGCCCCCTCCCTCCAAGGTGCCAGCCCCTGAGCCCCCTACAGAGGAGGTGGCAGTTGATACAACCTCAGCCCCTGATGAGCTGGAGGCCCTGGGTGCGCTGAACCTGGGGACTACAGAGGAGAAGGTGGTGGCCGAGACTGCTGTGCCCAAGACCATCGGGGCAGAGCTGATGGAGCTCGTGCGGAGAAACACCGGCCTGAGCCACGAGCTATGCCGTGTGGCTATTGGCGTCGTGGTGGGTCACATCCAGGCCTCTGTGCCGGCCAGCTCGCCTATCATGGAGCAGGTCCTCCTCTCGCTGGTAGAGGGCAAGGTGAGGGTGGGCGGCAGGGCCAGGGGCCTCCCCATCCTCGGGCCGCCCTGCCTCCCCTGCCCCATTCCCACTCTCATGCTTGTGTCCAGCCTTGACTCGACAGGTGTTTATTGAGCTCTAGCCTGGCCTTCATTGTGCTGGGTGCTGGGGACATTTGAGCTGATCCTTGGAGGAGAAAGGGAGGAAGAGCATTCCAGGCAGAGGCTCAGCCTGGACCAAGGCCATGAGGCAGGACCGAGCTTGGCTTACAGGAGGAGGTGGAACAAGGCCAGCATGGCTATAATACAGGGAGTGAGGGAACAGGTGGTGTGGGAGAGGTGAGACCCGGGGCAGGTGATAGATGAGACCAGATGCAGGTGGGCAAGAGTCATCTCTGGCTGCAGGGGAGGAGCGGACATAGAGCATGAGAGAAGGCAGTACCTCGCTGGCCTTGGCAGTGGAAAGGAGTGGGTGCTTTGAGAGCTGTGACCGAGGCCTCAGTACTGACTCAGGTGTGAGTCAGGTGTGTGGGCATTGTAGGGTGGGTGGGATCTTTTGCCAGGTTTGGGGCACTGGTCAGGAAGCGGGATTGGAGGGCGACGAGCCATCTCCATCTGGGGACCAGATGGGCCCAAGATCCCTCCTTAGGGCCCCATGACCTAGCAGCTCTGGTGTGGGGTGGAGGGAGCAGCAGGTCAGTGGACTTGTCTGTGTTGAGTACGGTGGGTGCTGCCAGGCTGGAAGCATTTGGGGGAGACGGGGGAGGTGGGGAGATGACCAGGCCTGGTGCCACTTCATGTGGATTCGGAGGGTAGCATCTCAGTCACACTCAGGCAGTGATACAGTCGGTGGCCTTCCTCGAGGAAGATGTTTCTACAGGGCTGGGATGAGCGGCAGGTTGTTGGAAGGCACCCACAGATGTGTCTCAGGCAGAATCTGAGCCCAGCAGGTTATCAAGACTGGGGGCAGTGGACTTGCTTGCAGAGGGGGTGTAGAATTGGGCTGGTGCCCTTGGGAGCTTTGATGTTGAGGTGTGGGCCACAGGAGCAGGGTCCATAGTGGGAGCTCGAGGTGGGGCAGAGGGGAGGAAGGAAGAGAACCAGAGGCTGGTCCCCTCGCAGGTTCTGGGAGGACACTGACTAGGAGCAGCCCTGAGAGATGAGGCTGGGAACCCTTTCCCAATGTCGACCTGGAACTCACACCTGTGACATTCTCAGGGTCTGGGTTGACTTCTAAACCTTGGGGGCTTCCTGGAGATGGTGAGGGACAAGGAATGTGCTGAGCCATTCCTCTCTCCCCCAGGACCTGAGCACTGCCCTGCCCTCAGGGCAAGTCTGCCATGACCAGCAGCGGCTGGAGGTGATCTTTGCAGACCTGGCTCGGCGCAAGGACGATGCCCAGCAGCGCAGCTGGGCCCTGTACGAGGATGAAGGGGTCATCCGCTGCTACCTGGAGGAGCTGCTACATATTCTGGTGCGGGGTGGGGGCCCATGGGTGTCTCCCCCCGACCCTGCAGTGTCCCCTCCAGTGCTCAGGAGCCTCCCCTGCGTGTACTCAGCTTGCTTATGTGTGGCCACACGGCTCATACTGACTGATTGTGTCATGCTTCCTCCTCTCCACAGACGGATGCAGACCCCGAAGTTTGCAAGAAAATGTGCAAGAGAAATGAGTTCGAGTCTGTCCTGGCCTTGGTGGCCTACTACCAAATGGTGTGTGCAAGACAGAGGGGCGGGGGCGTGGAGGCACCCGGGTAGAGGTGGGGGTTCCGGGCACTGAGTGCACAGGGTCTCCTGCCAGGAGCACCGGGTGTCCCTGCGGCTGCTGCTCCTCAAGTGCTTTGGCGCCATGTGCAGCCTGGATGCAGCCATCATCTCCACACTCGTGTCGTCTGTGCTGCCTGTGGAGCTGGCACGGGACATGCAGACAGACACGCAGGGTGAGGCGAGGGGGAGCTTCCTGCCGTGTGGGGGGTTCCCACCATCTGTAGGGGCTCTCACCGCCTGCCTTGCCCCCCAGATCACCAGAAACTCTGTTACTCCGCCCTCATCCTGGCCATGGTCTTCTCCATGGGGGAGGCAGTGCCATATGCGCACTATGGTAAGTGAGCAGGTCACCGACCAGCTGACCGCTGGGAGCCCCACTGCACGTACCTGACAGGGATCGGGTGTCCCCAGAGCTGATGGAGACCCAGGGGGCTGGGTGGTGTGCACAGATGGGGAGGGCTGACTCCGTGCACCCCCCTCCCAGAGCACCTGGGCACACCCTTTGCCCAGTTCCTGCTGAGCATCGTCGAGGATGGGCTGCCCCTGGACACCACAGAACAGCTGCCCGATCTCTGCATGAACCTGCTTCTGGCTCTCAACTTGCACCTGCCAGGTGGGAATGGGGCCCAGTGGGAGGTGGCCGACCAGCTGGGGGTTCTGGCTGGGTACCTGTGCGCTGATCTACCGACACCCATGTCCTTCCTCAGCCCCTGACCAGAACGTCATCATGACCGCCCTGAGCAAACACTCCAACGTCAAGATCTTCTCCGAGAAGCTTCTCTTGCTCCTGAACAGAGGAGGTGAGGGTGCAAGGAATCTGTGTGGTGCTGCTTCGCTGTACTGGGACTCCATGATCCCCAATAACTCCCTGCCGTGGCTCTGGCCCTCCCACAGTGACAGCCCTGACCCCTCTTCTCTTCCCCCTGCTTCCTAGATGACCCCGTGCGCATCTTCAAACATGAGCCGCAGCCGCCACACTCCATCCTCAAGTTCCTACAGGACGTGTTCGCCAGCCCCGCCACGGCTGCCATCTTCTACCACACAGACATGATGGCACTCATTGACATCACCGTGCGCCACATCGCGGACCTGTCGCCCGGAGACAAGGTACCTAGAGGTGGCTGCAGTGGGGATGGGAGGTGTGTAGAAACTGAAACAAAATGGACTGGAGACAGGACACTGACAGAGACTGGGGACGGGGCACAGCTGGAGCCAGGCCAGTGTGGAGGCCACTCAGTAAGCCATGGCAGGTGTGCCCAGACCCAGAGGAGCCCCGGTGAGCTGATCTGGGCCAGACTGTCTGGACAGAGATGGGGTGGGGAGGGCAGCGGGGTCAGGCGGGAGGAGGTGGCATTTACACAAGGCCTCAGAGGCTGCAGCAGGAGCTTCTGATCTCAGAAGAGGAGAAGTGACCTGATGGACACCCCGAACGGAGTGTGGGCTGTATGAGCCCAGGGGAGGCGGAGGTCTGTGAGGAAGCAGCCACAGCTGTCAGGGCAGCCCAGCCATGGCCTCCTGGGAAGAGGTCAGATTTGTGGGTATGGGAGGTGGGTCCCAGGGCTTACCACTGGACTTGTGTTGAGCAATCAAGTGGATGAAGTGTGATTACTGAGGTGGGGAAACACTCTTTGGGGGGGAAATGGAGTTGCATTTTGACGTGTCAGGTTTGAGAAGATACCTGTTAGACAGCCAGGTACAGAGCACATTCAGGGGCAGTGGAGCCGAGTTGGGGCACTGGAGAGACACGCTGGAGAGTTGCCTGTGCACCAGTGTGACGGGAAGCCTGTTTCAGGGCCACCACCTAGAGTGTGAGGAGGAGGGGTCAGAGGGCAGCTCGGGCCTTGGCCCAGGGCACAGTGAGGACAAGTAGGGAGGAGCCCAGGAGGAAACCTTGGAGAGAGCAGGAGCCCAAAGCAAGGTTCGGAGGAGGAGGGAAATGAGCTGTCTCCACAGTTAAGAGCCTGAGTAAGACGGAGGCTGCGAATTGGCCACTGGAATTGCCCCCACAGAGTCCCCAAGTGACTGACAAGCAGCGTCCGTGGAGTGGAGGGAAAAAGAATGGAACGTTTAAGAGAGAATTTGAAGTTGGAGGGGAGTGAGGGGGAAATTGGAAGCCGTAAATGGAGACAACCCCTGTAGTTCTTCTGTGAAGGGAGCAGAAAAGAGGGGGTCCGCCTGAGGGAGATGTGGAGTCATCAGGAAGTGTTCTAGAGGTAGGCGATGCTGGTGCAGGTCTCTGGGCCAGAGGGAATAATCCAGCAAGCATCAAGAAATGGCTGACGGGAGAGTGGGCCACCACAGAAGTCAAGTAGATCAGGCAGTGGCGGAGGGCCCAGGGCTGTGGAGGGACACCCCTCACCCTAAAGGGAGCCAAGGCAGCTTATTCTGGCAGAGACAGGTGAGATGTCGGTGCTGCGAGGGGAAGACAAGGGCTTTCTGAAAGATTGCTTGTTTTCTCCATGAAGCACAAGGCCAGCTGTCCAGGCACTTTGGGGTCTGGAAAGCCTAGAAGAGGTGGGCTGTGGTTCTTAAGGGCGTGTGAACATAGCAGAGAAAAGTGGCAGGAGCCAAGGCAGTGCTGCGTGTCCGTCTGAGGCTTGTGGTAGGGAAGGAAGCTGAGGCCTGCACAAGGCTCTGTGGCTGTCTAGGGCTTAGACACTGGGCAGTGATTTGCAGGTGCTGTGGTCTGACCAGGCTGGGGGGTTACAGGGTGGTGCTGCCTAGAGAAGGGATTGAGTCCTCTAACCATAGGGAAAGAGGGAAATAAGGGATGGTGAGGGGGGCAGACGGAGGAAAAGCATTGGGATCGTGTCAGTGGATTGGGGGTCTGTGGGGAAAAGGAGCAGCTGGGGTGTCAGACTAGAGGGCGTGTTAGAGCTGGACTCTGGCATGTGTGGAAGGTAGGACGGTGGCCAGGTCCTAGGAGTGGGTTGGGTATGAGGTGTGCCGACAGAGGGGAGAGAGCGGTGTCACAGAAGACAGCTGTGTTACTGGCCTGTGCATTTAGATGGACGGCTGTGCGCTTTAGTCAGAGAAAGAACATGAGAAAGCCTTCAGTTTTGGGAAGATAGAGCTGGCGGTTTCCCCTTGCCGCCTTTCTGAGCCAGGACTCCTGGGGGCTGGCCACGTTCTGGGACGCCTGTGTCTGGAATGGTCCATTCATTCACTTACTCAGCAACTGTTGAAGGCCAGTTCATGTGGCAGGCACATTGTGGGCGCTGGGGATGCAGCCCTGATCTTCGGTGCCGTGAGGCGGTCCGCAGCCCTGGGGTCCACGTGGCAGCCTGTTCCTGTCTGGTGGCAGTGGCAGTGCCTCCCAGGGTCCCTGAGCTCACCTGCTCCTCCCACAGCTTCGCGTAGAGTACCTCTCCCTGATGCACGCCGTCATCCGCACCACACCCTATCTGCAGCACCGCCACCGGCTGCCCGACCTGCAGGCCACACTGCGCCGCATCCTGACTGAAGAGGAAGCCTCGCCCCAGGGCCAGATGGACCGCATGATTGTCCGAGAGATGTGCAAGGAATTCCCGGTGCTGGGCGAGGACCCCAGCTAGCGCCTTCCTCCCCTCCCTTCCCTGCAGCCCCGGTCAGGGTGCAGGGGACGCGGAGGCTTGGCCCTAAGCATGTTTTGCACAGACGGTGTGGGGGAGGTGGTGGTGGAAGGGACCTGAGCAGGGCCCCCACCTGAAGTAGAGCCAGTGCCAGGGGCCAAGTGTGGGATTGGGGACCACGCTCTGGGAGCTATGCTGGGGCAGAGGGCCTGTGTGAGCTAAAGCCCCTCCATCTCCCGGTAGGCTGCCTCTTCAGCATGCCCCCTCCCCCCCCCCCCCCCCCCCCCCCCAGCACAAACACACACTCAGAGTCCCGCTGCTGCTCCGGGCTGGGCTAGAGCCGCCATCCCTGTCCTGCCTCGTCTGGGTCCTGGGCCTCAGCAAGCCATGTCTTTGGGGTGAGGGGAGCCACCTTCCGCCAGCTGTTCTTTGCCTTAGCTTTGCAGTGAGTGCTTCTCCTGTGCTCCCCGCTCCCCGTGGGGGTCGCTTTCCCTTGCTCCCACCCCCAGGGGTCTTGGCCAAGCTCCTGCTTTAAAGCAGAATCTTAGAGACAGGCCATCTATTCTGGAGCCTCACAGAATAGGGTGATGGCACTCAGAAAGCCAATGACAGAATATTTTCTCTGTAAAAATGTAGACTGAAAAGCCATGTGTATTTTCCCGTGTGCTGCAGCTCACCTTCGGAAATAAATCACAGGCATCCAGAAACAGGCTCCCCTGTATGATCCTGGGTTGTTGTGGGAGAGGATGGGCAGGGACGCTGGGGCCTCAGGACCTTGTCACTTGCTTGCCCTGATCTCTCCAGTGTAAGGAGGGGGTGGTCCCTGATAGGTCTGTCCATCAAAGTTCCTTGAGCCCTGTTCCAGCTTCTCTCCCTGAGTTCCTGCTTCTGGGCCAAGCCGAGTGCCCCATGGTCTGTTTGTGGGCGACTGCCCTCCCAGACTTCACTTACATCTTTCTTTGCTTTGAATGCTGAGTCTCTCCCCTGTTGAAAGCCTCTCCTTCATAGCTGCTCTCAGATGAAGCAGGCCCCACCCCAGCCTCAGCCTCCCTCCCTGCCTGTCCAGCTCTGTTCCCTTTCTCATTTGTCAGTGGGTCCAACAAGAGCCCCTCATTTTGCAGCCTCAGCAGAGATTTGGCCATTACTGTAGGGCAAGGAGAGTATCTTAACAGCTGTGGGGTTTAGTTGGCACTACTGTTTGAGGAGAATTAGGGACCATTTGGCAAAAACTTCATTTTCCTTGTGGGCTCCCAAGTTAACAAAGGTTCTCGCCATAAATGGGGGGAGGAGAGTCAGGAACCCACAGACAGACATCAGTCAGAAGCAGTTTTCATCAGTTCCCTTTGGTTTTTGACCCAGGACGATCCTCATAAGACCCTTCCACGTGTCCAGAGTTCCCGATACTGTGACTTCCAGTCATAACTTTTCCTTTTTCATTGGGGGGCTGAAGGCAGAAGGCTGTTCTGTTATTTTCTCAACAGGACTGTCTAATCCAGCAAGAAGCACAGAGAGGTCAGGGCTAGGGGTGGGGTCCCCTGAAAACAGGTCCTCAGGAAGCTGAGGCAGGAATATTTGACAGGGAACTAAGCACTGATGAGAACTGATGAGGGAACTAAGCACTCATGGCTGATGAGATGTCCTTCCTTAACTGCTGACTCGGGTTAAATGCACAGGCTCCCCTGCTGGACCTGAAGAGAGGCTGACAAAATGCCCCCCAGTAAAGCTGTGTGGCACAGCCTGGTCGCTTTTCATCCCAGAGCCATTCTGCCTTTCCCTTCACATCCAGAGTCAGTGACACTGACTTCCGGCCATGACTCCTTCCTCACTGGAGTGCTGAGAGAACCATGATTCTCCTCCTGAGATAGTATAATTGAGTGAAAAGCACAGGTCCTGTGACAGCCCCCATGCCTTGCTCTGTTCCCTGTTTTGTGCACACACACACACTGGAAGGGCAGGGCTGTGCTGTGCCATCTGTCCGCATGCTGGCACCTATGATGAGCAAAGTAGGGCCCCATGGCATGAGGATCAGAAGGCCCTGCCGGTTTCTGTATGATTGTCCAAGAGGCCCTGGCACGTGTTTGTAAGGGATGCGAGAGCCCCAGGTGACAAAGTTACATACTGGCCTCTGGCAGCAAACAGATGCTGTGAGAGGGTGCAGACCTCCAGGACCCACTCAGCAGATACCCTGATGGTGCTCTCACAACACAAAATTAGAACCACAGAGGGAAATATGATTAGCCAGAGAGTTCCTCAGTGAGGAAACTCTTTGAGAAAACACCCCTTTGGCTGCTTGGAAGGATGGTAAATGTGGGATATGGTGAGCAAAAGAAAGGGCAGAGGGAGACAACTAAGCCACTCGGGTGGGTGTTTGGGTGGGGCTGAGGGAAAAAACTCAAGAAATTTTGAGGGGCAATGAGGGCTGGGGGGTTGGGCTGACTCTGGTGTAGAAACGGGTACCTAATGGTGCTGGCACACACACATCGGGCAACTCCAGAGTGAGGGAGTGGGTAAAGATCACATGCCTGCTCAGTCCCCCAAAGATACAGAGGCTCTGAGTAGTTGAAAACAATGTTTTCTTTTTTTCTCTCTTTTAAAGAAATATTTTAATGTTTATTTTTGAGAGAGTGAGACAGAGTGTGAGCGGGGGAGGGCCAGAGAGGGAGACACAGAATCCGAAGCAGGCTCCAGGCTCTGAGCTGTCAGCACAGAGCCCAGCGCAGGGCTCGAACCACGAACCGTGAGAACATGACCTGAGCTGAAGTCAGACGCTTAACCGACTGAGCCACCCAGGTGCCCCTTTTGTTCTTTTTCTCAACGTTTTTATTTATATTTGGGACAGAGAGAGACAGAGCATGAACGGGGGAGGGGCAGAGAAAGAGGGAGACACAGAATCGGAAACAGGCTCCAGGCTCCGAGCCATCAGCCCAGAGCCTGACGCGGGGCTCGAACTCACGGACCGCGAGATCGTGACCTGGCTGAAGTCGGACGCTTAACCGACTGCGCCACCCAGGCGCCCCACTTTTTGAACTCATGACCAAGACCAAGAGTCACATGTTCTTCTGACTGAGCCAGCCAAGTACCCCATTTTTTCTCTGTTTTTATGGAAGAATAACATAGCCATGAAAAATACACCAAACAAAGAATAGAGCTGAATGAATGATGACGGAGAATGCTGCTATCACCACCACCCAAGTCAAGAAATAGAGTATCACCAGTCCCTAAGGCCCACTTTGGTGCCCCCTCTTTTTAAAAATTTTTTCATGTTTGTTTGAAAGAGAGAGACAGAGCACAAGAAGGGGAGGGGCAGAGAGTGACTCCCAAGAAGGCTCTACGCTGTCAGCGCAGAGCCCGATGTGGGGCTCCATCCCGCAAACTGTGAGATCATGACCTGAGCTGAAATCAAGAGCCGGACACTTTAACCGACAGAGCTGCTCAGGCGTCCCTGTGTGCCCCCTCTTAATCACTGATTCCTCCTTCCTCTCCAGACCTTCTCCCTAGAGGCAATTACAGATCAGCTTTGCCTATTTTTGAACTTTACACAGATGGAATCATACAGTATAAACTCTTCTGTCTGGCTTCTTCACCATTAAGTTTCTGAAATTCTTCTGTGCGATAGTATGCGGTTCCAGTGTGTTCACCCCCAATGTTGTATGGGATATACCCTCATTTATTCACTGCTGATGACCTTTCAGTTTCCAGTTTTGGGCAATTGTGAATAGCGCTCTCAGGGACATCGTTACACAGGTCTTCTTGTTGCACATATGCATTATACTGGGGAATATGTTTTCATGAGCGGAACTGCAGGGTCACAAGCCAACGCTCCAAATAGTTTTTGCAAAGTAGCTGTACCAGTGTATGCTCCTCCAGTAGCGCAACTTCCAGCTTCTCCACCTCTTTCCCCAAATTGGGTGTTGTCAGCCATTTCTTTTTGTTTGCTTTTAGTCATTCTGGTACACTATGGTAGTATTTTTAAATTTGTATTTCCCTAATGGCTGAAGAGGTTGAACACTTTTTCATTAGTTTAGTGGTTCTTTGGATCACTTGTGAAGTGCGTGTTCAAATCTCTGGCCTGCTCATCTGCTGGGTTGTCTATTTTTTTGTTGATTTGTAGTATGTATGTGGCATCTGAGTCCTTGGGTTATCTATTTTGCAAAATCTTCTCCCATCCTTAACATAGTCTTTTGATGAAAGTACATTCTTAGTTATAATGTAATCCAGTTTCTCAGGATTTTCTTTGTGCTTAGTGCATTTTGTGTCCTGTTAATAAATATTTGCTTAAAGTCATGAAGATATTCTGTATTGTCTTCTCAAAGCTGTGTTCTCTTTCTTTCATATTCAGATGTCAAATCTATCTGAAATTATGTATGCAGTATGAAGTAGGGGTCTCACTTAATTTTTTTCTACACAGATATCCAACTGACCCTGCACCATTTTTTGAAAAGCCCAGGGGCACCTGGGTGGCTCAGTCTGTTAAGCATCGACTTCAGCTCAGGGCATGATCTCACGGTCCGTGAGTTCGAGCCCCACATCAGGCTCTGTGCTGACCGCTCAGAGCCTGGAGCCTGCTTCAGATTCTGTGTCTCCCTCTCTCTGCTCCTCCCCCACTCATGCTCAGTCTCTCTCAAAAATAAAAAAAAAAATAAACATAAAAAAATTTTTTTAAAGGCCGTCATTTCCTCACGTTGATTCTCTTTTTTTTTAAGTTTATTTAGTTTTGAGAGTGGGGGTAGGGGCAGAGAAAAAGAGAATCCCAAGCAGGCTCTGAGCTGTCAGCAGGGAATCCAACATGGTGATCGATCTCACGAACCATGAGATCATGATCTGAGCCGAAATCAAGAGGTGGATGCCCAACTGACTGAGCCACCCAAGGCACCCCTTCTCACGTTGACTCTTAAAAGCCACCCTTGGGGGCTCCTGGGTGGCTCAGTCGGTTGAGCATCCTACCCTTGATTTCAGCTTAGGTCATGATCTCAGGGTCATGGTATTGAGCCCCTCATCAAGCT